CAGTATGCAATATCGGAATCCCGGATAAGCATGCCATCTTAATACTTTTCAAAAAATCTTTTTTTTTTTTTTTTTTCCATTTCTATGGTGATCCTAACCATTTCCTTCGTTGTTTCACGCATCTCTTTAACTTTTCTGAAATTTATTGTCAACGATACTACGCAAAAAAAGCATAAAATCAAGTAAAATTTCAGAGTAATAGCGCGGACTGTTTACTAAATTGTAGCAACAAATATATTGAGGCTCACGGGCAATCATAGTATTGTCTCGAAAGAGGTGAACTAAGGTAGTGCGCGCAGTGGAGACTCATCGAACTCGACTTGTATTCCAAACAAATATCGTATACCAGACGAAACAAACAGGACACAAAACAGGGCGTATATCAAGTAGGAATTACATCAAAAAGGACATATGACAGGGTAGTCCCGTAGAATTGTTAGTAAATTTTAAAAATATTAACAACTATTTTATCTTTCAATGTATTTACAGCTTGCCACTTTACTATCATTCGTCAAAAAGTTTTTAAAAGTTTATTTCCAAACTTAAAAAGATCTTTATTTCTTATAATAGATGGAAATGATTTGGGGATTCCTTCTAGTAAGTGCACTTGTCACAGTCACATGTAATAGCTTTAGAATTGGTTCCAAAGACATGGAAGGTAAGTTAAATTTTATCCTTAATATTCGTGCCATAGAGAACCGTAAAGTTGTAAATTATTTAATTTGGTCATAAGCTTGAAGGAGATGTATTAAGGAAAAAATCATCGTCTTAGGCAAGTTTACATTTCATTTGAAAAATTTTAGTGACATTAATTTATTTATATAATAAAAAGACGTTTTTACAAAACATTTCATTCTAGAAAAATCTCTTAAATATTAGATTACAGTTCTTACTGTAAAACAAAACTACAGTACTTTTTAAAAAATTGTATTTCAACTATTAAAAAAAACTAAATAAAAATCATGGAAAACTTCATGACAGACGCACATCATAACTCTAGAAAGGATACTTATGATTTTCGTCATAACTCTCTAGCTATTACATATACTCTAAGAGTTTGCATTGCATTAGATTTTTCGGTGAAAGCGAAGCATACGAGGGCTGTAAAACACCTAGACACACTGTATTGCAACAAAGAGCACTTCGGGCAACGGAACTCGCGTTCTATTTTATCTTTTCCGTTTCCTGCCGCACGCTTATCGAGAGGATTTTCGGATCGAGGTCTTTAAATTCCCTTGCACATTCCGCAAAGACACTAGACTTTTAAACGCCATTCCTTATCTGAGAAGCGAACGCAAACTCAGGAGAATGCTTTCATTTGCCCTGACTCAAACCTTGCTATTTGGCAATTAGCAACCAAAAACCATGTGGCATCAAGCTGCCTTGAGAAATCATAAGTTATCGCAGAAAGGTTCTTAATATATTGTGTCGAAGGGTGTCTAATGTTCCACAGTACAAAATAAAAATTCGAAACATTCATGTGAGCAAGAACTGAAAATTCAAGTGCTAAAATTTGGAAATTTTGCAATAAAAGCAGAGTTTTGTTACTTATATATTAATTACTGAGGGTGTTTACATATTTTAGAACAAATTTGAGGCCTCTTTATTAATGTTTAAAATGGAAAGGGTATGTTTTTAAAAGTTTAATTTGACAGCCTTTTCTCGGCACTATACGTTTGCATCATGATTTCCATGACAAAAGTACTTTTCTCAAAATTTCCAGGGGTATTGCTTCCCATTCCTCATCCACTACATTAAAGAGGTCATTAATCGTGATGAGTTTGCGCTTAGAAAGAGTTCGTTTCAAGAGACCAAAAGCACAATAATTGAATCCGTTGGTGAAATGTCAGATTGCGTTGAAAAGCATATAATGAAATACTTGTATCAGTGTAAACCTTTACAAGGAAAGCAATAATACTTTTCGAACTATGGATTGTTGCTCTGTCTTGATGAAGTTTTGCTCTCTGATAGTCACTGGGGTAAAGAAATGGAATACCGGACGTAAATCTTTCTCTTGATAGTACATGTTGTGTTGATTTTAACATGTTTTCCTCTCTTCTCATTTTTAGTTTCCCACTGTCAGAGAATTCTGCGACAATTATAAACCCCTTACTGAAACTTTCTTTGCATTGACGGAAACAAGGCTGCACATTTTTTTCCTCTTGATTTTTGGTAATAAATAAATCATTTTTTTTTCTTGCGGTCGTTTAGGTAAACCCATGCTTCATCACGGGTCGCCATATATTTCCGTATATCTCCTGTTAAGTAACTCTCATACAGGGTTCTACATATTGTTCTGCGATGATCCTCATGCCTGGGTAAAATCTGGCGAACATTTTTATTTTTCAGCTTTTTTAAATTGTAAATCTTGATTTGTTGTTTTATTTATTGTTGCTGCAGGTGTGTTTATAGACTCTGCAATTGATTTCTGGGTCGGCGGACTTTCTCTTGTCAGCAAAGATTTAACTTAATCATTAGAAACAGTACGCACCTTCATGCAAATGTAATGACTGACAGTTTTATTCCTTTCTTATTAACAATTTTGTTTAACTTGCGCTTATAAATTTCAATGCCATGTATTTCATAACGTTTTTGAATTATGGAACAGAAATATTTCTCTTCAGAAAGTAAAAGAACATATACTTCTATCCACAGCGTATAACTTGTGACATTTTAAAAGAAAAACAAATTTAAAAGGAGCAGTCGATATATGTCATTTTAAGTTGTTGCCGAAGTTTTTATTCAAAAACATTTGCTATTTTAAAATTATTTATCAAATCGTTCTAAAAATGCATAAATATGTTCTGTATTTCCAGAAGATTTTGATAGTTTGTTTTTAGACAACCAGACATTTACGTTCATGTTTTTTTTTTTTTTTCTCTATAATTGTCAGAATTCTGCCTTCTTCTCTTTCCAAGCTCCTGGAAAATAGATTGTAAACAAATCGAGGAGAAGAGAAAACCGAGCTTTCGCAAAAAAAAAAAAAAAAAAAAAAAAAAAAAAAGAGCATCCAAGTACTTTCAATAGTGCTGCATGAAACAGGAAAACGTTAATATTCCAGATGTAGAATTCCACATATTATTCGAGCTGAAACTCTTGAAAGTTATAACACGTTTTTATACATACATATATATATACAAGGTGATTATAATTAAAGTTTTTAAGTTTCAAAACGCTATAAAAAAAGAACCAGTGATGAAAAAGACGTCAAATTTGAAAGGAATGTTTCTGAAGAAGGCGGAAAGCGTATGGCAGAAGAAAAAATTTAGTTTCAAATTTTAGCAACAGATGGCGCTGTAAGCGACAGAATCACGACGAGAAATGAGAAATGATTCGTAAAACAACGGCTAAGGTGTAAGTACACATTAAAACGCATTGACAAATAGAATTTTTAGTAATTTTTTTTGCATGACTGAATCACTAGAATGGGGGAATAAAATTTGCATAATTTAACCTTCATTAAGTCAAAAATGAAACTTAAAATGTTAAAATTTTATTTGCACAATTTAATTTTATTGCTGGAAAACACTTTCAGTAAAGGCTAAAAATTACAAACTGGGAGATTCGTTGATCTACAAGGGGACTGGAGGTGTGTCTAAAAACAGGTCTCCAGGTAAAGCAGGGAGAGTTGGCAGCTGTGCTAACAACCATGGAATTTGAAGGTCATGGGCTTTGCTGCAATGCTTTTTTGCTCATCTGCTGCATGTGCACATATACCTGGGTCACCACATAAAATACATTTTGATGACATCATGGGTTACACATTTTTGTAACATAGCACATTGCCTCTTGAATACTTTTTGGGAGGAGGGTGCAGATAATCAGAAAGCACCAAATTTCATTCTTTGTTTTTCCTCATCTCATTTTGCATTTCTGATATACATTTGTTCCTTTGTTTACAAAACTATACTATAATCAAAATCACAATATTTATTGAACTCATTTAATCATATACTGAAACATTTACATTCAGACTTTAAGTAATTTACAGAGGTGATACCTGTAATATTTAATAATTTGTAAATGGCAATATTTAATATTTAATAACTTGTAATTGGCAACACTTGTGATACATATATGAAAATAGAATTATGCTGATATTGCAGTTCTCAGTAACATATAATATTCTATGCTTATCAATAAATATTTTCTGAAAACTAAAAGTGCACCCTCATTATTTTATATGGTGTCAGGAGTATTTTCCTTTAAAAGTTTAAAACCACCAGAGCCGATGGAAAAACAGATGTAAAAGGATATGATTCCAGATATTCTCAAGGGCTAAGTTAAGAAGATCAACTACCAAACTCTTATAACTCAGAAACAAGAGACAGTGAGCAAAGAATTAGAAGTGGGAGAGTGATTAGAAAGCTGGCCAGGTATTTAGATTGATTTTAGACTGTTAAAAAAAAATAAAATCTTTTGAACTCTTTAAAAAAAATGGAAGATGTAATATTTAATCGTTTGTAAATGGCAACATTTAACATTTAGTAACTTGTAATTGGCAATGCTTGGGATACATATATGAAAATAGAACTATGCTGATATTGCAGTTCTCAATAATATATAATATTCTATGCTTATAAATAAATAATTTCTAAAAACTAAAAGTGCACCCTCATTATTTTATAATACCCATACAGAAGAATGAATTACAACTGAAATTTAAAAGGAGGAGAATAAAAATTATTGCATCAAATGTAATGCGATTTTAAATTAATTATATTTCTTATAATATTATATACTAATTTAATGTGCTTCATGGTGATTATACATAGGCCTTCAAATATTCATGCAGCTTTTTTCTTTTCCATACAGAGTTTTTAAATTTAATTTAATTCATTATATATATAATAAGTGTTATATATGCATATATATATATATATATATATATATAGCTGAAAGTCTAGTTAACCAGATAGAGCAAACTAACATTTTTCGAAAAGTATACAATTTGCTTTACTTTTTCAAAACTTGCAAATGAATAAATTACTCACATAACTTTTCCTGTATTGTTTCTTTTAACCATAATACCAAATTGGAGATCATTTACAAAATCAATAGAATAATCAACATTGTCTGGTGATTGTGCAGGAGGTAAAGGGACTTCTATAGGCACTTCAAATCTTTTCTTTGCTTTGCTTTATCAGCAAACTGAAATAAGAAACAATGAAGATTAACCTGAATAAAATAAAATTTTCAATAAAATTCAAATATGCAAAAACAAGTAATATGAATTTTTTTTTTTAAGTCAATTCCTGTTTCAGTCAACAAAGAAATTTCTTTTTAGTTACTTTTTATTAACATTATTAACATTTTTTCATTTCTAGTTTATGAAGCTGATGGTGGTCTATAATTTCTCATTCTATATCCATCTCTTGTAATGCTTCATTATTGCAAGGAACCTTTCCAGTGAGTTTTGGGCAGTCCAGTTCTTCAATTAAATATTCCATCTAATGATTTCACATGATTTTTCACATGATTTCAATTCTAATGATTTCAAGGCGACATATACTTGATCTGCTGCGAAGAGTTTTCGTTTTGTAAGGAACCCATTTTAAAGGGTCATATTTTAAACATATCTTATTATCATGTTAACATAGAAATATGGGGAGAATTTTCGCTATATAATGGGATATTACATCTGCTTCATCCAACGCTATAAAACTAAAATCCTTTAATTCTAATTTAATAAAGCTGATGGTGGTCTATAATTTCCAATTCTATCCATCTCTTGTAATACTTCATCACCGCAAGGAACCTCTCTATAAAGTTTTGAGCATTCCAGTTCTTCAATTAATATTCCATCTAATAATTTCACATGGCTCATGGCGACATTTGCTTGACTTGCCGCGAAGAGTTTTTGTTTTGCAAGGAACTCCATTTTAAACATATATTATTATCACATTAACATAGAAATATGGGGAGAATTTTCGCTACATAATGGGACATTGCATCCATTTCATCCAACTCTATAAAACACAATTCTTTAATTCCATACACTTTAAAAATTTTTAGAACTCCATCTTACTGTTGCTACTTATTTTTGTTAAATATAGTCAAAAGTCGTTAATTCGGACACCCATAATCCGGAATGATCTATAATCCGGACCTCAAAGCTAAAAACTTTCTGCGTATGCGCCGCGTTGGCACATGCGCATAGGCGTTTTACACGTGCACGTAAGACCTTGACTACTGCGCTTATGCGTGTGCGCAAGTGCAGAATACGTTTTCGCCTGCGCGTTTAATGTATAACGGACGGTGTAAGCTAAAATTATCTTGATTATATATTTCAGTTAACGTTAATGATTGCGTTGTTCCTTAAACTTCGAATTGGATCCCGCTTATTATTTTTTGCAGACTGTAAGAGCAATTTTATAAAAGTAAACTTGAACTTTCGATTATGTCAAATAGAATTTCCGATGCTGAAACTTCCAAAGGATCTACAAAAGGAAATTATGTTTCGATGTCCAACAAACAAAAGTGGAATTGCTGCAAAAATGGATAAAGACATGAAGAATGTGACAGAGAGGTTAGTGAAAACGAAAAAATTTCGATTGACAAGTTAGTCGGTATTCTCGGCACAGCAATTAACGGGACTTTGTAACTGAACAAGAAATTATGTCTGTTTATAGAATTAAAGAGAAAGTATTATTATCACATAAAACGAAGCAACTTAAACAACTTACATTGAAAGAAATGTTTAACAAAGTAAACAAATAAATATTAAGCTTTTTTTTTTTTTTTTTTTTTTTGTAAATTTTGATACCCTTTAGATCATAATTGTTCTTTATTTCATAAATTACGGTTTCATATTTTTAATTTTAGAATTTCTGCATGCCATCTTACAAGATTTAAACTGATGATCTATAATCCGGAAAAATCGATAATCCGGAATCGCCGAAGTCCCGACGAGTCCGGATTAACAACTTTTGACTGTATTACAATCTCATTTATCACAGTCATGCACTATTATTTCCTAATAAATGGTCATTATTTGTAAGTCTTATAATATATTTAATGAAAAACATATTAACATCAAGTGTCATCCACTACAAGTTTAAAAAAAATGTATTTGAACTTGAGTGGATGAATAAAAAGTTTTTCATTCATGACTAAATATTTGAACAAGTTTATAGATAGAGAGAGTGTGAGCTAATAAAAGTAGGAATTTAATAATTGTGAATCTTTATCAAAAAATAATGGTTAAAAACATTACTTAAATTTTAAATAAATATTTATGTAAAACAAAATAAGAAAACAAATCTAATATGTAAAATATAAAATAAAAAATAAATTTCTAATAAATTACTAACTTAATTAGCAATAGCTTCTAATTTTTTCTTTAGATTTTTATATGCCCTCTTCCTAGCATCTCCAATGCATCAAAATTTCTTTTGACTGCATCATTTCTAGATCAATACATACATATGATTTAATAATGCTGATGATGTAACTAATGCGAAACTTAAACAGAAACTTTGACATAACCAATTAGAAACTTGAACACAAAATTTCAAGTACCTAAACCTTTCCCATAATAGGCCGCCATACTGGATAACTGTGCACTTTTGTTTCTAGCTCTCTTTCCATCAAGATGGTACTGAGCTTGCTTAGCCTCTGCTAGATAAGCAGAAGTCCAATGGGCTGTCTGTTCCATATTTCTAAAAATACATTCTATATAAAATTGTGGAGTGCATAGCAAAACCCACAATGATGATGTAGAATGAAGAAGAATACATGTTCTTTAGTTATCAGGGAATAAAATTATGTGTGGAATTTACATCTACGTGATCGAGTGTCATCTTTCTAACTACACAGTTAAAGGCCTCTTCAAGTTATGACAATGCAGTGCCGGGCATTATTAGTTACTGAAACTCTCCCATTAAAACTACTGTAGTCCCCCATACCAGCAGGTTATATTGGGTCATGTGAAAAGTTTTGCAGTTTTTCAAATGGAAGTGCATTTTTCTCTGATTATTTTGTCACTGAAAATATAGAGTGACCTTGATTAAAGCACATTATTGAAACAAGTTTTTTTTTTTTTTGTTGTTGTTGTTGTTGTCATTGTTTACACTGCATAATTCTAGCATATGTTGTGACATAATTTTTGTGTCAGTGCAAATCTATGAATGGAGAACCCAAAAGTTCATCTTAATCACATTATGCTCTTTTATTTAAAAAAAAGAAAATATGCTAGTCAGACAGCTCATAAAATTTGCTTTTACACAGAAAACCACTGTTTCTGAAGATACAGTTTGAAAGTGCTTTAAGAAAATTAAAGCACAGAAATTTCAGTCTAAAAAATGATGCCTACTCTGAACTATAATCTTCTATAAACAACAATCTATTAAAAGAAGCTATAGCTGGAAAATCCTAGTTCGGAAACTATCAGACAGAATAAATATTCCAAAAAGTACAATGTATGATCATTTGAAGAAGGCAGGATATGTAAGCTGCTATGATGTGGTACTCCATACTTTAACGGAGTACAATATGCTTAAGTTTTGGCATGTGATTCTTTGTTAAAAATAAATTAAGAAGCTCCTTTTACAAACAAAGAGCTCATTACTGAGATGAGAAGTACACTAGCATTAAAGTAGTCAGTTTATTTGATGAATTATTAGTTTTACTTAAACCTATGCTTCTTTTCCAAACTCTAATAATATCTTCAGGCAGAAAAGATTCAGCAAGAGGCTATAACATACATATATGTTTATCAGACATGACATTTAATATCTCAAGGGCTCTGAAATTAGTTTCAACTTTATCATGCACCTTCATGAGTCATATTGCTTTGATCAGCTCAATGAATTATTCAGAATTAAGATCAATAATTCTCTCATCTATATTTCTATGAGATAATCATCTTTGCTGAAATCAAGCTTTAAGACATTCAATTACTTGATAACAGTTATCAATTGATAGGAGGAAAATTCAACGATATCTCTTGCATAAGATCCTTCAACAGTAGCTTGAAATAAATACAGTCAAAAGTCTTTAATCCCGACTCGTCCGGACTTCGGCAATTCCGGATTATCGATCATCAGTTTAAATCTGGTAAGATGGCATGCAGAAATTATAAATTCAAAAATATGAAACCGTAATTTATGAACCAAATTATGATCTAAAGGGTATCAAAATTTACAAAAAAAAAAGTTTAATATTTATTTGTTTACTTTATTAACCCTTTGATGTGCGCTATATTATTTTTTAATTTTTTTTTAACTAAAAACACTAGAAATCGAATATTATGATCCTAGAGACAAATAATATATGAATTAAAAAAATCTACTCCCACCCATTAAGCTGTGGGTGGTGGTTTCGCTGTGAAACCAGCGCGCATCTAGGACTTTGAAACTTACCGAGTCAGTAGGAAAAAACAACTTACCTTTTTCCGTACGGGCATTTCCAATGAATGACGAAATTTGCGAATTTTAAAAAAAAACTGCATTTAAAAATTGCATCAAATATAAATTTTTTACTTTATTTTACAAAGTATATCATCAGGGGAAAAAATTATAATTTATGTAATTTTTCTGCAGCAGTGAATTATTCAGAATAACATAAGAACGTACAGAATAAGGAAATTGGGATAAATAAATGGATAAAAGCCATAAATATATCCATGGGTTTTGCATCTTCCATAGAGGTAATTTCGTCAGTTGGGCCATAATCCTCAGAAAATTCGGGAATGGATTTCACTACATTCTGCATTTATTCCATGTTACATCTGCAATTCTGGAAGGACCTGGTAAATTTATATCATCACTTTCTGACTGATCATCACTTTCATCTTCTATATTTCCATAAGCAGGAGGAAGGGGGTAAAGGAGTATTTCCTTCTCCTTCACTTTCATCCACAGAGACCACTGATTCTGGATCTGAAGGTAATTCTTCAAGTAACGCTAATGCATCAGCTATTTCTAACCCTTTGCGAGGCATTTGAATCTCAACAGTAGAAAATAAAATATATTGGCAAAATATTTTAAATTTAATTAAATTTTTTTGCGCGTTTTCTATTTTTTAATTATTCAAAAATATATTCGCAATTTTTTTGAACCACACAAAATATTTAGAAAATCACAGTACTAGCATAGAGAGCAAGCATGTTGAAAGCAGAGAAAATCTCTGGAACAAAAAATATTTTATGG